CAAAAATCGTTGTTGAACATTATCATCACCATTATTGATCATCATCATTGATCGATAATAATCAAATTCTTCATCCGTCCGTATTTTATCATTCGTATTGATTATTTCAGATTTTATCGATTGTTGTTGTTGGTGGTCGAGTTGTTGATAATGATTTTGATGGGGGTTTTCATAAACCTCATCATTTTCGGATTTTATTTTTTTATTCGATTTTCGTTGTTTTGTACCACCATTATTATCTTCTTTTGAATTTTTTCGTTTCAATTTTTTACCATTTTCGGCCATCACCAGATCATCGTTTGCGGATTTTCGCTTTGATTTTTTTGTTGTTTTTGTCATCATCATCGTTGTTGTTGTTGTTGTTGTTGCATCCAAATCAATAAATTCAGTTTTTATTCCATTATTGACATTGATATTTTCGTTGTCCATTTCGATAAAATTATTATTCATTGAAATGATTCGAATCCAAATGTGATCGTCCTGGATGATTATGGAGTAAAAATAGCCTGAATTTTGCAGAATCTTAAATACAAGAAAAGCAAAAAACATTCGAATCTTCGAACGATATTAAGTACCGCCCATTGGTGAACAAGAAAAAGAAGAAAAACAAAAACCGCCCATTCTTTGTTGCCAAAGTAAACGAAAAAAAATGATCATCTTCAACATCAAAGATGAAGATGATGATCATCGACGAGACATGATGGCTGACGAGGTAGAGTGTCTTTGTCTATAGACGAAAATACAAAATTCGTGAGAAAAAATGTACAGTTATATTAACGATGGTTATGAGAATATAACATTTCACAAAACATTTTGTTGTTTATTTTGGGGAGGGGTAGGAGTAGTGTGGGAGAGGAGTTAATCTTTTATTTATCACCTGATATGTATGTTAAGGGTTATCAATCAATTATCAATCGATTGATTGATTGATAATTGATTAAGTTAGTCCAGGTTAACGAATTTTTTTTTTTTGATGTTTACCGCTTTTGGTTTACCCTTTTTTTTCGCACTTTACTCTGGTTGTTATCATCTCATAATCAATAACTCTTTAGTTTCATTTAGTTAACAGACGACGACTACGACGACGACGACGACGACGACGGGTCAATTTAAACTGACGGCGACAATGTGATCAATATTATTTTGGTTATGTTCTGGTCTAGACCTATGTTGATGATAATAATAATTGTCACCTGTGTCAATAAAAAAAATTTTTTGTTTTTTTTTGTGAGAAACATGTGTGATTTGAATATGATTATGTTAATTAATTGAACGATATTAACATGAAAATTTAAAAAAAAAGAAAAAAGGAAAATTTTTTTTTGTCAACCTAACCTCACTGAACTATGAATTATGGCCATAGTCATCAACCTAACCTAACCTCACTGAACTATGAGTTGTGGTCATAGTCATCAACCTAACCTAACCTCACTGAACTATGAATTATGGTCATAGTCATCAACCTAACCTAACCTCACTGAACTATGAGTTGTGGTCATACTATAATTTAATATCTAGAAACTTTCTAGTAAACATGAAATTTTTAAAATCTAAAAAAATTTCCGAAAATCAATTCGATCATGCGCGCATGAAACAACACGCGAGTTGTTTTTTCTTTTTCTTTTTTTTAAATGACAATTCGATAAATTCAAGATTTTTATAAATATTTTACCATTTTGGTTACTTTAAATTACAATATTTTTTGAAAAAAAATGGGTAAGATAATTGATAATTGAATTTTAATCTGAAAACTTATTCTAATTCTAAATGTTTTATGACATTTTATAAAGCTATTTCATTAGGATTATCATGTATAATATCATCATCATTATCATTGGTTATAATGGCTGCAATGCAAATATTTCGTTTACAATTAATCGAAACTAAATTACTAACATTATTTGCCGGTTATCTTGGTTCATTAATCTTTATATTTATATTAACGGCTATTAACAATCTGCAAATGTCATTGTTTGGTAAACATTATCAATCCAAATATAGCGAAGGTATTTTTATTTGTTTTGTAACCTGTAATTTTGTTTTTGCGAAAATATTGAAAAATTTTTATCAATCAGTTATATTTAGTTTAATTGTGGCCATGTTTACATCCGGACTTGTTCATCAAGTAGCTGTCACTAGTTGGTAAGTTTTTCACTCGTGATTTGTAAATTTTATTTTCATTAAAATTTTCATATTTCTATCCCATGGTCAGTTTATTATTCTCGCTTGCGTCATTATACTTCCTCAACATTATTAGTTCGAAAACTTATCAATCAAACAATTTGATTGAAAGTAAATCGTCAATGAAACAAACAAATGTACGAAAGAAGAAATGATTTAAAAAAAAAACATTGATTTTTTCTGGATTTGGACACCATTTTCCGGTCAATCATCAAAAAAAATTATTTGATTGAATTCCTGTATTTGATACATTGAACAATGATTGATTCAATGTTTTTTTTTCCAATTTTAAAATTGATTTTTTTTTGTTTAAAAATAAAAAAAGTTTTCAAAAAAAATTTTGAGTTTTTTTTCGAATTGCGAAACCTGTTTGGGTAGTTTAATCAAGGTCGAAATGGTTGAATCATGCCGTTTTTTGAGCATGATTTTCTCAATGGAAGAAAATTAAATAAATGCCAACGTGTTTTCTGTTTGGTCAAATGTTTCTTCGTTTATTTCGTAATTATCATCATCGTTTTTCATCATTATTAGTTAATCCACTAGTTTATTCTGAACGAACAATTTTTCAACACCAACAACGAAAATTATTATTAAATTCATTCATCAGAATGGCCGATAATAAAACAACCATTGAAGAACAAATTAAACAACAAGGCGATCTAGTTCGTTCACTAAAAAGTCAAA